TATTACTGTCACTGTTATTACATAACTTGAAACTAACTTACATCAAAAACTCAGGTTGGCCAAAATTACGATTTAAAGGTAGTTGATTGGACTATTAACAGCGTAGATTTGATTTTTTTTATAATGCCTTTTTTATGTATTTCTCCATTTATTTTTCACATATCGTAAGCTCGATCAGTTAAAATTACTGCAAGTTCTTCTGATGTAGCTGTTTCAAATAGGTAGTTCATATTTTCTTGCTTTGCAAAACTGTATAAATTAAAGCCATATCGATGATTTCTTCATTCTACAGGACAATTCAGTTGAAGCTGTTTATTTATATTCTATGATATCTTATTCTGGGGATGAGGGAAATAATATAATCTAATAAGTTATCACCACAGACAACTCTACTTGGTCATTATTGTCAGAAAGGCGTATTGTTAGTGACAGACTCTGGTGAAAAGAAAACCAGTATTCTATTAATAACAAATTTTAGTATAGTTACAAAAATAGTACGGTAACAGTCCATGGCAATTAAATACTTCTATATAGTAATAAATCTAATTTAAATAAGGAATGATGAACATCGTCTTTTCCTGGAGCTGAAGACGTTTTGTGACTATGAAATTGTTAATCGCTATAACGGCCGATAAAGGCTTGACAATTTGGGCAGTAGTGATACTTGGACTTGCAGCTATCCACGAGGTATGGAACGATAACGCAGCACCAAAATCCTCTGAAATGAGGTAATATTCAAATTTATTTGAAACAAAGCAGTAACTACATATATCTATTATGCACGTAAAGGTGCAAAGCAGCAATTTCTCCAATAGTACAGTCATTGTAGCTGAAAATCAGCTGTAACCTCCGAATTCTTTGAAACTGCATGGATTTGCATGAAAATTTAGAATAAGGCTCATCTTAGGCTCAAGTTCAAAAGTGACATAAAAACGATTGGCGCTTTTTGTTTTCTAGGGGTAAAAACTACCCTAAATGAAAAAAATTGAAAAAATTAAGTTTTAAGTATTTTATTGATAAAAATCGAACATGTTCTATGATATATTTGATCTTTTCGACCCTTTATTTAACCTTTAAAAACTACCCCTATGCAAAAAATAATGATAAAAAATTACTTTTTAAAGATTTGGAATGATTAAATCGTGCAATTATTTAAAATAGAAGTTACCGTATAGCTAATAAAATAATTTTTCCCTTTCAATCTATCAAAAATGATAGAAAATTACTTTTTAAAAGCTTTAAAAAATTTAAAATAAAAATTCTCTCATTGCTTATGAAAGAATTTTTATCTCATAACACTTTTCAACCCTTATAAATCACCCCTGTGTTTTAAATCTTGGAATGTTATTATTATGCAATAATTTAAAATAAAAATTCCCTTATATTGTTTATGAAAAAATATTTTACTTTTGCCATTTTCAACTCTTATAAACTACTCTTTTACCAATATTAATGTAAAATATTTTTATTATAATCGATTTTTAAATATAATCAATCATAAAAAAATTGCTACGCTGCATATAAATAATTACACTAAATTTTTTTACTTATTTTATTTGTATAATATGTAATATATAAAAATGAGAAAGCCTATTTTGCTCCGAAAAAATGTCATTGGTTTTTTTACCATAACTCGGTTAATTTTGAAGCTATAGTATCCTACAAAAAAGCATTTTAAAGATAATTTCAAGAGCTGTAAGATCGTTTGCATATAAAACCTTTTAAGTCCTTCGTTTTCGAAGGCCTTGAGACAGGTCATTTTTTCACTAAAATGGATACTTCAAGCGGCGATAT